CGATCCCCGGTCGGGTATTGCAGGTGCCCGGCCGGGGATTTCGAAACGCAGCACATAGGTACAGGGGATAATACCCGATCGAGGTCATGCATAACCCGATCGGGTATTTTTGCTCTCTGGCCGGGACCCCTCCTGCCTTCTTGGCGTCTAAAAGTGCTTTTCCCCGCATCCTCATAATGTTACCCGGCCGGGTATAATTGCTCATGGCCGGATATTTTGCTCCTCCAGCACCCTTCAACTCAAACGTCCCCCTTTTGACCCGAAACTCGGTCCTTCGCCTCAACGTCAACGCCAAGCCCTGAAATATGACATAAACACACAAACTAGCGTGAAATCAACTTAAAACACGAGAATCAACATCTCAAACGGCTCAAGAATGGAGGTAAAATACGTGCAATCAATGGTCTATCAATAGTCTTACCAAATTGCGTCTTAATGAGCTGTACAAACTCCTTAGCCAAGTCATGCAACTCAAATTTAAGACGTAGAAAGAAAACCCAAGCGTAGCGAGTCTTATGATCAATAAATAATGCGAAGTACTTGAACCCCATGCGAGAAGTTACAGGAGAAGGACCCCATAGGTTCGTACGCACAAGATCGAATGGAGCATCATACTCAGTATCACTGGCCGAAAATGATTGTTGAGATGTTTTGGCCTTAATACAGCTCACACAATCAGACCGAGAACCAAAGGAAGAGTCAAATTTCCCAGGAAGCAGATTCTGACAAAACATAGTTAACAATCTTGTAGAATTCGGATGGCCTAACCGACAATGCCATAACTTCCAAACCGAAGCATTCTTAGAAAAATCCAACCCAGCAGAATCCATAGAATTGTTTGACAATGACTCACACATCGGACTAATCAGACTAACTCTTTACTCTTGGATGCCGTTCCAACCTCCATTGGCCTTCTCTCTTCACGTACTCCTCCAGGCGGCTGGTGTAACCCATCAAGAACAAAGATTCTGCCCTACTTACTTCCCTTCCCGATCATCGCCCCCGTCCTCTTGTCATGTACCACGCAACCAGCATTATTAAAAGTAACCTTGCAACCATCTTCTGTTAGTTGGCCGACTGAGACAAGATTAGGGAGCAAACTAGGAATATATAATGTATCGGGAAGTGTAAAAGTAGGAGTGGAAGAAGTTCCACGACCAATGACTGGCACCTGTGCGCCATTCCCTACTCGAAGACTCAGATTTGAAACAGGATGTAACTTATCATAGGTAGATCTTGCATGAGTCATATGGTTAAACGCACATGAATCAAGTAACCAACGTAGCGACTTACCTGAGACTGCCCCAGTGGCAAAGACAAATGTGAGAGCTTGAGGCAGAGCTTCTTGTAATGCCTCTTGCACTAGACGGCGAACCAGGTCCGGGGAGAAGTTAACAGAACTAGAGCTGCTATACGTATTGGCAGCCGACCCAGAAGTATAAGAAGTCACAGCATAAGCTGTTCCTTGGCGGCGACCAGCAGACCCCCAGCCGAAGACTTAGAACTAGAAGACAGTCCACCATTGGGGAAGCGAATCTTCTCACGCTTGCTCACGGTAGGGCATTCCAACACAATGTGCCCCGCCTGCTTGCAGTAATTACAGTAATTACGTTTTTTGCAATGGATTTGAACATGTCCAGACTCTTGAAAAAAATGACATATTACCTCACCATTGTTTGGAGTCCCAAACTGAGGCCGAGAAGATCCACCCGAGCGTCCCATAGCAAAAGGCTGGCTCATGGGAGTTACCGTCAATTTGTGATCGACTTTTCAGCCTCGTTTCTTCCCTAAGCAGCTCGGCAATGACGTGTCAAGATCAGTAGTGCCACGGTGAATTAGTGAAGCTCTAATGGATTCAGACTCAGGCCTGAGTTTCATAAGAAAATGCATAACCCGTGTCCGGGTTCTCTCCTTCTGAACTCCAACCAAGGCATCCCTAGTCAGTAAGGATGCAGTCACCAGATCATACTCCGTCCACAAATGTAAGCAATGTTTGTAGTAGCCCCTTACGTCCCTATATCCTTAAGAAAGAGAACCAATTGTCATTTCCAGCACATAGAGACGGGAGGTATCTGCATGTGAATACGTAGAGCAGATATGCTTCCACATCTCATGCGCGGTATCGAACCTTCGAAGACTCAACGCTGTCGGAACATCTACTGATGACAATAGAGAAGTGATGATCTGGGCGTTCGACGCTGCCCATTCTCGCCTATGCTGCTCCGTTGCGGTGTCGACGGGCTGTTTTGCCTCACTAGTCAAAACCGACAGCAAGCTTTTGCCTGCCACGAACATTCAGAACTGAAATTCCCACAATGGAAAGTTAGTCCCGTCAAACCTAATTTTGACCGAGTCCGTCTTTCCATATTCCATATTCGCAATAACCAGAGTGGATAGAGAACACGTGCGCTGAGACAATCAAGCTGTGACAAGACCAAGGGTAGCAACAATCAATGAAGAGTCGTAACTCTCCAAGTCAAAAGTATTGGCTTCGTTAATTAGGTTACTTGATATAATGTACATATATATAGAGGTTCCATAACCCTAACTACGGCATAATTACAATATGGTACTTCTAATTTGAACACTCACTCCTTTAACCACACCAAAGATCTAAGGTAGAGGAGTAGTGTTGGAGAATGAGAGTTCGCGAAAAGAGTGAAGGGTGCTTCTGCTGGTTCGATCAAAGTTTTGTCGCCGTCAACCTCCAACGGAGAACCAAAATCCTCTCGTCTCTCCTTTCCTCTGCAATGGGAATGACTGGGGAAGAATGGTGAAGAAGGCTGTTGTCGTAGGAGTTGAAATGAAGAAAGAAGTAAAGAAGGAAGGGAATCCCTGCTTTTGATAGGTTAAAAAGGGTAAGAATGTAAATACGTGTTTTAATTTATAAATCTCAAATCATTAAATCCATGATAAAAATAGCTCAACAAATAAAGGATTTCTTCAAATTCATAATGTACCAAATCCCTAATAAATCCTTAGGCTTTTAAATCCCACATCATGGACAAAACCCTCATTTTAAAATACTTGAAGCAAACGATCCCTTAATTAACAAAATTTCCTAATTAGTAATTTGCAATCCTACAAATTAAGGAGTTTGAACAACAGTTATCATCTGCGTTCCTTCAAGAGGAGATTTATTGGAAACAAAAGTTTAGGAATATGTGGCTCCCTAAAGGAGATTCAAATACCCACTTTTTTCATACCATTACAACCCAGACGAGAAGGATGAATACAAACCTCTACCTGAGAAATGATAATGGTATAGTGCATTTAGAGGAAGGAGCTAAAGCCAACGTGGCTATCGCATACTTCATGGGGATCTTCCTATCTAATCAACCTTTAGTTCATGACTTCATGATAAGGTTGGGTCTCCAAAGGAAAGTGGATGATTATATGAATTCATGTTGGTCAGCAATAGTTACTAGAAAAGAGATAAAAGATGCTACCTTCTCCATCGGCCCTTATCAAGCCCGAGGATTGATGGTTTTACTGGTATCTTCTTTCAAACATTTTGGGATATTGCTGGAGAATCACTATGTGATGCTGCCCTTTCTTTCTTCCATACAGGAAGATTATTACATAATTTCAATCATACTCTTATAACGTTTATACCCAAGATTCCAAATGCCGAGACTATGAAACAAATGAGACCTATAGGACTCTGCCAAGTGTTCTACAAGATCATTGCTAAAATACTAGCAGGGATAGACTTGGTCATTTCCTTCCTTTAATTGTAGGCCCTAACCAAAACGGCTTCGTAAAATATAGATCAATTACTGATAATATCATAATTGGTCAAGAAGTGATGCAATTTCTCAAGACCAAAACCCAAGGCAAGGAGAAATGGATGACTTTGAAGCTAGACATGGAAAAGGCTTATGACATAGTAGAATGACCTCTTTTATTCGAGTTATTGAAAGGCTGGGGCTTTGGAGACAAATGGCTCAAATGGTTAAGGTCGTGTGTGACAATTGTATCTTTCTCTATTGTATTAAATGGATCTATTCATGGATACTTTCATCCCCAAAGAGGCATTCGGCAAGGGGATCCTCTCTCCCCCTTCCTATTCGCTCTATACACAGAAGCCTTTTCCTCCCTTATAGAGAATGCCATTAGTAATTCTACCCTTCATGGCCTGCGTATACATAGGGAAGCTCCCTTGATGTCCCATCTTTTCTTTGCGGATGACTCTTACCTTTTCCTCCGAGCATTCTCTACTGAATGTATCAACTTGTTAGAAATTCTTCATGGTTGTTTAAAGTTATTGAGCTCCAAAATCTGAACTTCAAGAAATTTTTTTCATTTCGCATAACTTTTTAAGGACTACAATTTTTACTAGAAATGAATTTTCAAAACAGGAATTATTTTTGGATATACAGGATTTTGGGAATAGCTTACCTTCCCTTTTCAGCAATCCACGTACATTTCGAAACTATGTCTATGATAAAAGTTGTATTCCTTAAAAATTTATGCGAAATAAATAAAATTCATGTCGTTTGGATTTTGGAGTACAAAGTTATGGTTGTCCAAAGTTTGACGAAATCGGAAAAAAGCTCGTGGGGGGTAGCAAATGACATTTTTGGGACGAAGGCGGGACCAATCCACCTTCGGCAATCTTCGGCTTGCAAGATCTCAAAAGGTTATGCAGAATATAAAAAAAATCGCGACGATCGGATACCCGAACACAAAGATACGTTTGTTTGAAATTTCCACCTAGGTTAGGATTTTTCAAAAAAAAAAAAAACAAACCGCATGGGTGGGGTGCGGTCTGCAACCAAACCGCATGGTGTGCGATTTTCATCGAAAAACGCGCCCCGGGTGGCGTTTTCGGCTAAACCGCTGATACGGGTGATGATTTTGAAAAAATGATGTTATTTTTGAAATTTTTCGAAATTGGGTGCTATTTTTGATTTTTTTTCTAAACAATGCTATTCCTGGAAAAATCCCTTATCTTGGAGGTAGAGGGGGAAAAAAAACGAAAAATGAAAGAGGGGACAAAAGCAAATGACGAAACTACCGCCTACCGGCAAACCCCAACCCCACTCCCCAGCAACCCCATCTGCCACGCTCTTCCTGCCATTGCCATTAGGGATGGCAATGGGTCGGGTTGGGGCGGGTTTTGTCAAACCCAAACCCAAACCCATGGGTTTATCTTTGAAAAAAACCCGGGGTTAAACCCACTGGGTTTGAAAAACTCAAACCCAACCCAACCCGTTGGGTATCCGCGGGTTCATGGGTACCCACGGGTTTTGTCGTAAAAAAATTTACAATTACAAGTTCTTATCAAATTAAAGTCAAATATCAATATCTCAATACAACTTATCCATATATAAAACACCATTCTAGAAAATTCAAGCAAATCACAAATTAACTATACAAATTGTTCAACACCAATCTAGATTACTCAAGAAAATTGAAGCAAATCACAAATTATCCATAAATAACATGTTTAATTGAAAGCTTCTTCCTTTCAATTAAGTTTCTTTACTCTCCACTCCATAACATCAACTTCATTCTACACAATTAAAAAGAAAAAATTAGACATGTCTCCACAAACATAAATAAGATTAGTTGTTTAGAATATTAAATATACCGAAAAATTAATTATATGAGTGGGCGGGTACCCACGGGCCGGGTTTACCTAAACCCAAACCCAACCCAACCCGGTAAATAGTGAACGGGTTTAAATCCAAACCCGGCCCGAAACCCGTCAACACGGATTTTACCCGCGTTGACCGGGTTGGGTCGGGTGGGTACCCGTGGGTTCGGGTTTTGTTGCCATCCCTAATTGCCATTGCCATTGCCGAGGTATCACTTTCCTTCCCAAATCCCACCACTGTTCTATCACTCAAAAAATCCATCAACAGTTCAACACCGCGACAACCCGGCCATCTTCAACACCCATGGCATCTTTTCTATCATCTTCTTTTCTACCCTTGACGTCCCCAAATTCTGCTGCTATCCACATTCCCAAATGCAGAACCAAGACCTGCCGCCGAAGAACAACACTCCTACCGCCGCCCGTTACAGCTTCTTCATCTTCCACCGGCAATTCTTCACCACAACTGCCCAAGTTGGTCACTTTCCTCGGGAAAGGAGGCTCCGGCAAGACCACTTCCGCTGTTTTCGCTGCTCAGGTAACCTACCCGCTTCCCCAATTCCGATTCTCATGTCAATTTCTCCATCAATGGGTTGTTTTGGCTGATTGTGGTTGAATTCGTTTTTGGCAACCGAACCAGCATTATGCACAGAGCGGGCTAAATACGTGCCTGGTAATACAGACCCAGGACCTATCTGCCGATCACCTCCTCAACTGTAAGATTGGAACTTCTCCCATTCGCTGCAATCAAAACCTTTCCGCTGTTAGGCTGGAAACCACCAAAGTGCGTTGCTTTCTTACTTCCAACTTCCCTCTTTTTGTTCCTTTCAGAGCAATTTTCATTTCTTGGTTCTCTGGTTTTTGTTAGCAGATGCTTCTTGAGCCTCTCAATCGACTGAAGCAAGCTGATGCTCAACTTAACTTAACTCAAGGTGTTCTTGGAGGGGTAGGTATGTAGATGTTGTAGCTTTTCCATGCTCTTTTCCGAAGCTTAAAGTTTGACCCTTTTCTCACTCACATTTCTTTTGGGTTTGTGACAGGTGGTAGGGGAAGAGCTTGGGGTGCTTCCTGCCATGGATTCTGTTTTTGGTGCATTTGTCCTTGAGAGGCTAGTTGGATTCTTAACAGATTTGAAGCAGAAGGACAAACATGAGCAAAGATATGACATTATAATTTATGATGGAATTAGCTCCGACGAAACTCTGAGGATGATAGCTGCTGCATCTAAGACAAGGTTAGGTGAATTCCTTGTCCTTGAGAAGGTCTTGTTGATTAGTGGTAAGCATCATGCTGATAGCTCTGTGTGTGCTAGATTGTATTTGAAATATGTGAGGAACATGGCTGAGAAGACGGATCTCGGGAGGTTGGCTAGTCCTTCTGTATTGCGACTGCTTGATGAAGCGCTGGATTTAAGTGGTAGGAGTTCCCACTTGAACGGGCCTAGGAGTTCTGAAATTTGGGACATTCTGGAAAAGAAGTTGGAGGTATATAAAGTGCTGATTATTCTTCACCTTCTTAAAGTCAAGTTGCTCTCTCTATCAAACTAACGGGATTCAACTTCTTGTATTTTGCAGAAGGGGTCTTCTGTGTTTGCTGATCCCAATCGATTTGGTTGCTTCCTAGTTATGGATCCGAACAATCCAGTCTCGTTGAACTCTGCATTACGTTATTGGGGGTGTGCAATCCAGGCTGGTACAACTGTTTCAGGTGCCATTGCTTCAGCATCTTCCCCGTGCTTGAGTGATGAATCATTGATGGAAGAAGTTAAGCAGAAGTTTTCGCCTTTGCCTTACGCATGCCTTCCGAACTTATCAATGAATCATCATCCTTTGACTTGGGATTCAATCATGCATAGTACCTCACCCAACCATGAGGCAAGGGCGTTGTTTTCAGCAGCAAGTGATCTCAGTAGTAGTAGTAGTAGTAGTAGTAGTAGTAGTAGTAGTAGTAGTAGTAGTAGTAGCATAACACCACCAGTGATGTTTGATGCTGCGAAGAAATCTGTCACCCTTTTCATGCCAGGTTTTGACAAGTCAGAGATTAAACTATACCAAGTAAGCCTCCTGTTGCACTTGTTTTCTCAGCAGCTTTAGCTTGATCTCTCAGTTTCTTAATTGTTAGTTCTCTTGTATTTATTTCGTTTTGGTTTGATAAATGGTGCAGTATAGAGGAGGTTCAGAATTGCTGGTAGAAGCAGGGGACCAGAGGCGGGTGATTCTTCTGCCACCTAAAATCCAAGGGAAAGTTGGAGGTGCCAAGTTCATTGACAGAAGTCTGGTGATCACTATGCGATAGCTGCCCTTATTTGGATTGTATAATTACTGATTGTTACGTGTCGATCTCCACTCGAGTAATGTACTTGTTCTTACCCTCAGCAAGTTGGAAGCTGATATAGTTACTTATTGCAAAAGGAGGAGACCATAACAGGGATCTTCAGAGACTAGAAAATACCTTCCACAAGTTGGATTTTTTTAGTGAGCAGTCTGTGACAAATATCAATCGATCTCTTATTCCTTTCCTTTCCTTTTGAACTTTGCAATATGCAGTTGACAAATCGATATACACCATATACATTCCCAGAAGAAAACTGAAAAAGCCATATGAGATCAATCACTGTTCCGCTGCTACTTCTAAATCATTACTCTCATCATTTTCGCCTTTGGAATTTACACGATTCCTTAACTCTTCAAAAGCCCTCATGCTCTCAGCGTCAAACCCTCCAGCAAACTGCCAAAAGTTCAGATATTGTTATGCCTGTGAATAAGAACTTGGGGGATGATAATGAAGGGATACCGAGGACTAATCGAAGAGAACACCAACCTGATGAACACGGAAAGCAAAGCGCACGCCTTGCAGTAGCAAAAACTCTCTGTTGGGTTCCTTCTCAGGTCCGCTCATGACATCGAGCTCCTCTGAAACACGTTTCATGTACTTTCTTGCCAGCTGAACTGAGGATAGCTTGATCTGCAAGGCATGAAAGAATAAGATATCATCATGCATATCTATCCATTACATACGGGGAAAATCAAGAAACTTCGTCGAATCCCTTTTGCTACCTTGCCAACAACTCCAGAGTCCTGCAGCCAATCAACCGGGATCCCAAACTCCTTGTACCGTGACATCGCCATGTCCCTTGTTCGCAGAAGTGCATACACACTATTCTCCACCCTGGCAAAAAAAATGGCGCAGTGAAATGTCAAGGAACCAAAGAGGGAAATGTTAGCAAGAAAATGAGAGCTGTTTCTTTTATTTATTTATTTTTTGACAAGAAAATGGGAGCTGTTGCTAACGTACTTCTCCAGCAGTTTGTACATCTTCTTGAGAGCAGCCTCACACGGGAGACTAGAATCATCCTCAAACGACGTTACATGCTTCTCCAACTTCATCAAGTCCTGGTACTCAAATGCTGCCTCTCTCAATGCGTCAGCCTTGCTTTCAGGCCACTCAAAGTGCTTCAAAACTGCCCGTTCGTCCACCTATTCATAACAGATAAAGAAAAAACAGCATTATTAAGACAGTTTCAATGTATGAGTAAGCTACGAAGGAAAGATACAATGAAGGGTAGCTTACCAAGAAGGAGAGTTCCTCATCTAACCAATTCACAAATGCTAATAGGTCATTTATGTTGGTAAAAGACGATGCCCTGACTTCACTTGCTAATGACTCCACAAATTCGCCTTGAGTTTCCACGTCAGCTTTAACAGCTATGAGGAATGATGACCTGTTCTCAATCTCCCCAATCATATTGCTTCGAGCATCCGAAGCATTGCCTGTTGATGAAGAAATCAACGACGTTGTATCCTTCTTTGCCTCCCGCTTCATCAACGACTGATAGAATTCCACCAGCTCAGGTGCCCTGTGAACTTTACTCCCTCCCCCACCTCTCGGTAAGCTTCCAGGTGGTGGAGGTGGTGGAGGCGGCCCACCAGCACCTCCAGGAGGAGGAGGAGGTGGTGGTGGTGGTCCACCTGGGCCACGCGGTGGAGCAGTAGGAACTCCACCTGACAGAGAAGAACCTCCAGACTGTTTAGGTGGCGGCCTAGGTACTCTAGGAGGCCTCTTCTCAATGTCAGCAAGTTGAAACTTGCTGACAACTGGAGAGTCAATGGACTTCCCATCCGCTGACTGCTCCTCATTTGACTCACCAGTAACAAGCGGTTTCTCTTTCAGCTGAGCTAGTTGTGATGGCAGATTCACAGGTCTACCCCCCTTCCCTCTGGAGGAGTCGAACTGTGTTGTATTACCAAATTTCACAGCCCTAGCTTGCTCAGCTCTTACCTTGATATGCTTCTCCCTCTCCAGTGCCAACTTATGCCGGTCCTTGTAAGCAGGGTACTTCTCGTCCATGACTCCATGAACCGACTTTGACATTAATTGGAACGATGAAGCAACAGCGTTTAGAGAATCATTCTGAGAGGCCTGTGTTTTGATGGGAGGAAGATTTAAGGTTTCTGGAGAGTCAGGAGCAGCATCTTGATCCATCTTCCCAAATGTGGTAATGGCCATATTATCCCCTGCATTTCTCAGCATTATTGCTTCTAATGGCCCCCTAGGCTTGAAGCTCATGCTAGCCCTGCTTGGGGAGCCAGTTAGAGACCTGGCAGGTGATGAAAAGGCGCTTGAATCGTCTTTGCTCCTGCTTCCCCATTTCTTCAGCTTCTGCATCAAACTTGGCTTCCTACTGAGACTGCTGTACCTGCTGAAAGAACTGTCCATGGAGGCATTGTCGAAATCTTCGCTTCCAGGGGAAGATGGATGCGAGAAGTTGCTTTCCATGTCGGTGTCAACGCCTTCGCCACCACGTTCTGATCCGGCATAGTCTAGCATTAGCTTCTTGGCCCTTTCTTGTGACTTGGGGCTTAAGTTTTTGCTGAGATCACGGGCTGAAACTTTGCCAGGAGGTGCTTGGTAGTTGCGGAGCTCGTATCTCAAGCATGCGTTGACCCAACGGAGGTAGACTAGCTCTTCGACTTCGCTGAACCTGTTCATTTGAAGTCCTTCCACTTGCTTCAGTAGGTCTTCATTTGCATGGCGAAGATTGCTGACCTCCTCTCTTGCATTTGCCACTAGCTCATTCTGCAATCATTAATAGTACAAAGCAACAGAAACCTTATTAACTCAGGGTCCTCGGTGTATTCCTTCAGAAAATTATGTAAGAAAAAATGGGGGGGAAATGATCGACTTCTTCAGAGTGCTCTTTCAAATACTACCCTACCCACCATGCATTTGTGATTGCATCATTTTGATACATTTGAGATTACCACGTGCTATTGCAAATACACTCTAATAAATCAAAAGTGGCATTGAGAACCAGTTATACATGCCCTTACAATACCACCATCCCAGATACACTCAACCAAATGATCTGTCAAGAGTGTTATTAGAAACAAATATGCACTTATAGCAGGACTATGCAACTTACCTCAGTCATATTGGATATGGCTGTTATCTTCCCTTCAGCAGCATCCAGCTTGACAGTCAACTTTCTCTTCTCATGCTGAAGCTCTCGATTCTTCCTCTTGAGCTCAACAACCTCCATCTCTAGTTCCTTCACAACCTTCATCTTCTTTTCAGCCTCAACATCTTTCCTTACAGCTTCTTCCTCTTTCGCCTGTAGACCCAAAACCTGTTGTTTCAGCAACAATAGCTGCCCCTTTGTCTGGTTAGAATCCAGCTGTATTTGTCTCTGAAGCTCTCTGATTTTTTTCCTTGCAGCTTCCAACTCTTTCCTGGCAGATCCTCCACCTTGTGCAAGCTCATCCTGAAGTCTCTTCTTCTCAGATTGGAGTGAGTTAATGGTTATGTTCAACATGTCAACCTCCACAGTCTTAATTTTTAACTGCCTCTGCATTTCAACAACGTCTGATTCTTGCTCCTTTAAGCCATAGTACTCCAACAGCTCACCTTCAAGTTTTACTTCTCTTTCTTCCAATTCATTGACTAACTTGCGAAGGCGTTCGAGTTCGCTGGCATGGTTTGCCATCTCACTTTCACAGACCTCGTTTTTCTCCTCGGACAAATCGAACTTGTCACTTGGTAACGAATACTCGATCTCTCCTGATAAGAAATCCTCAAATTCAGGAAAAATGTCATCTTCATCATCTATACCAGGTGGCACACCACCACCATGAACACCATTTGATATGCTGTTGATCAATTTAACCTCCTCTTTCTCTTCTTCTTCTTCTTCCTTCTCCTTGATGTTACCATCTGGATTAGGAATCTGCCCTCGGCCATTCCGTTTGCTTCGACGCTTACCATTTTCTGAAACCAATCATGAGAGAAGGAATGCAAAGCACTTTGAGAAACAGAAGAGAATCATTCAACATGCATATTTTCTATCCACTTAAGCATTATGGCCTAATTATGCTATATTTTTATTGGTAAGAAGAAAGGAAAGCTGCCATCCTTTTATCCAAAAATGAATAGACGGAAGAGAAGAAGGAGATTGAATGAGTTATTAGTATATTACCTGAAGCTTTCTGCTTAACAGCATAAGCTGCAATGGAAGCAGCAACGACGAGGCCTACTCTGACAATCATGTGGGTACTGAAGATTGAAAACTCTTTATCTTCCGAACATCTATACCCAGAAACCAAGAGTTTATAAAACCCTCTTGCCTCATTTCTTCTTCCCCAGCTCCATGACAGGAAAACTAACTCAAGCCATGAGAGAGCCAAAGGGGAATTGCAGACTAACCTAGAACCCTCCTCCAGCAGTCAACAGAGACTTATTGGATGATGATTATTCCGACATAAATCCCACATAATGCATGGGAGAGTTAATGCACAGAGAAGTCCAGCAAGCTAACGCTCAGAACATGGCTATCTGTGTTAACAGGTTCACAGAATTTTCAGACGAGGGAGAGGGACAGTTGCCGACTGTTGAAAAGCAACCAAGGTTGGAGATAAGCAGAATTCCAACGCAATTGTCAAGCTAAGGGATACAGCAACCACGAGCACAACAAGTGGCCCACGTTTTTGCTCGAGAGATAAGTAAGTTCGCCAACTCAAGAAAGAAAACCCGTCAACACTTAACACTTAACAGCCTGAAAGTGACACTTACAAGGTTAAAGCTGCAGAAACTGTAACAGAAGAGCAAAAAGAACAGCCCCACTGCCAATCTTATCTCTCTAATTAATGAGCTCGGCTGGCTGTTATGAGGAGCTCCACAAGTTAGCTATCAGTCGATAACTAATTTCCTACCAAAACTTAATTTCAACTGCCAGCTGAACTGATAAAGTAGAGTAAACCCCAGAATTAAAGTAGAGTAAACCCCAGAATTTTTCCTTCTGCATGGCAAAAGCACAGCCCATCTCAGATAAGAACAATATCCCAGAAAGTGTTTAGCCTTGAAGGTGAACTTGATGCCTTGAGAAAGTGCAACTTCCATATGACTGACAGCCAATCCCAATATGGAAAGGGACAAATAAAAAGGAGGGATTTTGATTATAAGGTTGTGAAGCCAAGAACTTGAGGACACATTATCTGGAAATGGGTCCAGCTTCAAAAAGGACAGTCATCTTCTCTTTTTGGCATCTATCCATTCAGTAGAATTAAGCAGAGAAGAAAGGCAGATGGATAAGGGTTAAACAGAGGTAAGGCTGAGATTTTACTTGCTGGACTGGAGCACGTTGGGAGATATAATCCAAACACATACAAAGGCAGCCACACCTTTTGGATGATTGACTGCTTTGATTTCACATCCTCTTTTTGGCAGTTCTGTTTGCTAAAACAAACCTAAATTGGGGCAAATTGACTAGAAAAGTCATATGCCTTTGTTGGGATGTTTTGCATTAACATGATTTGGGCAACTTCAAGGCCGCCATTATTGTAGTGGTACATATAAAAAAATCAGAATGTTTAAGGTGGCAAATTTGGGCGCAGAGAAGTTGGATAGGATATGGAACTGTTTTGGCCTAGGGATTTGCTGCGAGCAAACTGGTAAAGAGACCAAGGAAAAAAGAGGAAACCACTCTGTCGATTGTGGTCTCCACTTCTGGTGGTAGCAGCCAAAAAGGGTTATCCACAGCACCATTTTAGTGGCTGTGATGCTCTGGCCTCACGGCCTGAGCTGTGGAAAAAAAAAAGTCAATCTTAAGGCATATATTCCTGTGTCTCAAGGTTCAAACTAGCTAGAGATCTTCAAACGTTGATCCTAGCTGAGCATGAGTAATTGAGTTCCCTCCAAAGTATGTCGTAAGAGCATGAAGAATCATATCATTCACAGATCTTATAATGCTTTTTAACGAGATATATACTGGATCCATAAACATTCCAAGACGGACAGAAGAAAAAATGAAGGTACAGCAGATACCTCTGCACAATCAGCACGACATTCATATTTGCCATCACAGCAAAACATCTTTACACCAATTGGTACCACAACGCATTATGACCTGATCTAGAAGGCATAGGCATTCGAACTGACCAGAATGTTTTCTTGCCGGTCAGGCACCTAGCCTTGCCCTTCGTTCTAGAAGGCTACGGCTGTAAGCTCTTCCCTCTGAACATGGCCAGGAAAGGGGCATAAAAATATCCACCCAAGTTCTTGTCTCATTGCCTCGACCTAATTTATCCTGAAGGAATCACATCATGATCATGACGCCTAATGCCCAGTTCTAAATATTACCCCTCGCTCGGGGACTTTACTACACAACCCTTCTATTCCCCTGAAGATGAAGAAACTAACGAATGATAAATTTCAGGTAATTATTATGCAGTTTTTTACTTGTACAACAGGGTGCGTCTTCAAGCTTGGTTGTCCCATTTCCACCGCCGTCCTACCTCCTCAAGAACTTTAGCCCGGGCCTGGCTTTTCTTCGCTTCATCTTCTACCCAAGTCCTGCATCCATCACAACGAACAATCTCTGATTAAGATTTCCACTTTTGTGCTGAGATTGAGAACAACACTTGCAAGGGTGATACTCAATTAACACAGATAATTCGTTTGTGACGATGATGGTACCGGAGAATTCGGAGAGCTTCTACTTCAGCTTCCAAAATGGATTTTGAATCAAGAATCCCTTCCTGATCCATCAGCGCTGCTTTCCGCAACTCCTGAATGTTACACTGCTCAGCCACATATGTAGCCCTCTCGGATGCAAGCCTTTCTGAAGTCTCTTCAATCTCTTCCCTAAGAGTGAGAATTAGATGTCTCTGGCAGTCCATAGCTGCTTTTTCCTTCATGTTCTCGGTCAAATTTTGGGCTTGAAGATTTTTCTCTTTATCCAAATCCTGCAAGGTGGCAATGTAGAGCTTCTGCACTTCAACTCCACGGTTTCTTTCAACAAGAAGCTTTTCATTCCAAAAGTTCTTGATATCGCCTCTTACGAGCAACTCGGACTTAATCTCTTCAGCAGCAGCCTGCCTCGAAGAACTCTCTGCTTCCATTCTGAGTAATTCGTGTTGAACTGCTTCGGCCATTCTGCCACTTGTCAGTGTGACAGCTGCCTGTGCCTTGGTTGATGGTTTATTTGGCTGAAAACGCCTACTCTGTCCTGGAAAAATAATTATACCAGTACGTATGAAACTTATAGAAGATTCCTCAAGACAGTAACTTATTACTATCCACGAATCATAATATGCCCCAAATAATGACATGCTGCAATGGTATTATATAATACATATCAGCTACTTAATTAGGTTCACTCAGTAAAAAACAATGAAAGGCATCTCAATTGATTCATGAATCCTGATTGCTTTTTCAATTTTTTTTTTTCTTTTGCCCTGAAAGGTTCCAGGTTCATGGAACACTGACCTTATATGTTCCAATGAGATTTCAATACGGTACAGGTGTACAGTTTCAGAATGCAATTGCCAATGGTGAGATTTGGCAGGGTGTATGAGAGACGTACCAAACACTTTTCTGATAATGCTTTTCTCCCCAGTCAACATGTCAGCAAAAAATTCAGGCGATGTATCTGAACTGATGTCCTTCACATCCATGTAATCTGCTCGTATTCTTGACATCTGGACTGTAGACAAGTCAGATTTTAAGAAGGTATAAAATGGCAAATTTCAAAGACAATAATTACTTTGCCTCTGATTCATTATGTAACATAACGAACCACAATTTGAGGTACATTTTACCTGCTCTTTTGTTCCAGGCAAGATGGCATACTCTAACTGAGCTCTCCAGTTGATCATATCCTTCCGGGAGAGGTACCTACATGAAAATGCATTTCATTTGTTTCAGAAGTGGAAATATTAATAAGTAATTAAGAGTAATGGTCAGGGAGTTTCACAAGTTGTTTCCACCCTCGTACCTATCTGGGTTAAAGTAGAAGCTCCCATCTTCTGGAGTGACAGAAAACAAACTTGTTGAAGACAATTTGCTTGGTATAATGCCAGCCTCAGCTAGAGCTGATTTGCAAAGCAGAAACAGAAATTTCAAAACACTTGTACCAAAAACACAACCCTAAGGGCAATGGCCTTCTAAGACTATAGATATCTCACCTTGAATATACACAAAATCTGGATCATCAACACTGATGTCATCAAATGCAACAGCAAGTGATCCTGAAAGGGATATAGTTGGGACGATTCTGTGCTTGGGATTTCTGCAAAATCATCATAAAAAATTGATCGATATATGACACGATCAAGCAATCCTGTAACTTGAATGAACTGTGCGCAAAATTCACTACCTCTCAAGTAGGGAATTTAGACGGACTAACCATCTTGCATATTCTCTTCTAGTGCATAACTCATCAACTCTTATGTCGTCTTCCACAATCTGCATACATTCATTGAAAGGCAAAACAGTAATGCTTAGAACTGTACTAAGTTAGTTCATCAAGAGATTCAATTTTAAAAAGTAGGTGATCTCCAAAGAACATATTTGGGACAGAAGGAAAAGATAATAGATAAACTAGTCTAACCTGGAGTAAATAAATAAGTCATTGCTTATCAGAGCTAATGAGTGTTATGAAGCAGCAGGAGAACCCAAATGTTCCCAGTTATGAAAACCCTTAAACCCATGTTCTTAGTAACAGCTAAATGTGGCCAATAACAACTCTATGTCAAAGAAGGGAGTCAGCTAAGCTGATAAGCCAAAATCCTGCCAGAGAAGAATGCTCTAGATCACAGCATAGCTCTGAAGTAACATAATAATAAAGAATGGAAAGCATCATGTCAGAAACGCTACTAAAACAACACACCTTGAGTTTCTGCAAGCTCGCTAGGGATTCCAACTGTGTTGAATCCAAAGCAACTGAAACTTTAAAACTGTTCTCCGCAGATGCTATAATAGAACCAGAAAAGGGGAGAAATGAAATGAATGAACAGACTAAGGTAAAGAAATATCAAATATCAGCAATTATTATTCAAGAACTCAAAAGCTTTGTGTTACACCAAGCTGGGTGAAGTAAACCCATAGATAAGGATCAAAGTAGTTTCATATTTCTCCAGGTACCAAGGATCAATTTCCTTTATTAGAACCACAATCTAACATTCAAAACTGAAGCAAATAAGGCTAGATGAGTGGAATGTACCAGGAGTTTGGGATGCAGCAGGAGGCTCATGAACAGACTCTGGGACGGCCTCAAGAACACCCACATCTTCATCACGCGAAGCCAAGTCCTTGGCTTCACTTTCGTCCCCCTCAGAAGTTATAATGGCGGCACCCCAAGGACTACGAAGTTGCAATTCAGCTCCTGTGAAATATCCAAAGATACCTACTTAACAGCCCGAAATCCACACGACCGTACGATAAAATCACAAACTTCAGCCATCAAACGAAAGAGAACTGACCATTTCTAGAGAACGAGAAGTATGCAGCGGCAGCAACCGCAGCAGCGGCAACACAAACCCCAATCCCACCAATTACAACCCTAGGCAGTCCTGCGATTGTCACCTGAACTTTAAGCATTCGAAAATGGGTGGAAATTAGCTGAATTTCGTCAACAAAGAGTTGAGATACCTTTCTTCCTCTTGTTGGGCGATGCAGGGGCTTCGACGACGGCCCAGCCGTTGAAGTCGTCACTGCTGCGGCCATCGGGAGTGGGAGGGTTAGGAGTAGGGATGAACCAGGAGAGGTCAAGTTGACCGTCGGCGACTGAAGCGGAGAGGCGGAGTAACCTAGGGTTTCTGCACCGGAGAAAGGAATCGGAAGAGCTGGGAATGACGGCATTACGGTGCGGTGAAAGGGAAGGAGCTCCGGACGGGCGGAGGAAAAGAGACGACGGCGGCCCGGTGGCTGACGACGAGCCCATTTCCCTTTTAGCTAGTGTTGAATGGTCACGGTCAGCAGCGTTCGTTAGGTTTCTTTCATGGCGTCCGGCTCAGGCCAGTGTCGTGTATATCGTAGTATGTGATTGGGTTTGGTTTACCGAACATCATCTTGTCTCGTCTTGACTCTCGGGCCTCGGCTACTCAGCTAACTATGAATGACCGCTTCTTATGATCTTAGCAGTCATTTGCAAATTGCAAGTAATGCTCAGCTTATAGTTGTCTAACTTTTACTCTGTTTGGCAAACAAGGGTGCAAATTGCAGGAGGGTGCAAGTTGAGAGATAAATTGTTGGGGTGCAAATTGCTGGGGTGTAAGTGGAGGGGTAAATTGCTGGGGTGCAAATAAAATGCAAAGTAAGTAATTATATTATTTTAAAATAGATTTTAAAATTATAAAATAGATTTTAAAATTATAAAATAGATTTTAGAATTATGAAATATTATCATAAAATAAATATTACTATATAATAATAAATATACTTTACTAAAAATAGTTATTATATAATAATGCTCAAATAATAATTAATTATAATAATTGTAATAATCATTGATCGAGCGATCTCAAAACTCAAAGCTCAACTCGTAACTGGTCATCCTATATAGGGTTTTCGTGTCTAGTTTAATCTTAAATTGTCAAACTTAGTCAAACACGTTCGAATTTGTAAGTTTTAACTATTTAGTCAAATAAAATGAGTTAACCAAACAATTTCTCTCTATCTTTTCCACAAACACCTTGTATATCTAATTTTCAATGCAAATTCGATTCAACCAAGAGATCTAGATTTGACTTGACGAACATTTATAAACTTGTTTCCAGAGTCAAATGGTCAACCCCGAATAATGTTTACATTAATGATATTTATAAAAAGAAGAAATTGATAATATTAATTATTATATAATTATATATAACACAATTAGAAAAACAAAATTCCATAATTCCCCCCTCCCCCTCTGTTCCTTCCTTCCTTTGCACCCCAATTCGAGGGTAAGCCGAAACAGTAAATTTGCACTCTCGTTTTGCACCCCCTACTGTTCCAAATTAACCAAACAGGTGCAAATGTGTTGGAAACTGTGTTTACCCCTCACATTTGCACCCTCCTCCAGTCCTCCCATTTACCCCTCTTCCCAAAGAGAGTGTTAGGGGGATTGTGTCGCTTGAAAATGCCGAAATATAGATTTGTATAGTTAAACTTTGGGTAAATATAAAATATATTAGCCAAACCTTTAACTTTAAAACAAAATAATAGTCAAATCTTAAAAAAAAATAGCCAAACCGTTAACTTTCCATCCAATTGACCATCAGTTGATTCTGTTGTGACAACTTAATTAACGAGCTGGAAATACTTGTGTGACGTGGCATTTAGTCAACCTGCCATATCAAGCCTAGTCATCAAACAAAATACTAAAAAGTTAAAATTCGGCTAAATTACACGTTTGGTCACTTGAATTAAACAAATCTTTCACTTTTGCCACCCAAATTACTTTTCTTTCTTATTTGCCACTAACTTTACGAATCGTTTCACCGTTAGTCACCGGCCGTTACACTCTGTTAGATTTGTCCTATGTGGCAGTCAACTATAATGTTTGACCGTTAACTAGATGACGTGGAAATTAAAAAAAAAAATTTTGTCCAACTCATCATATTACTTATTTAATAAAAATTAATTAAATTACAAAAATAAATAATATGATTGATTTATCATATTCGTTTCGTCCACAAGCACGACCTCCTGTCCACCTCATCATTCACCAGTGTCCACGGGGTCGAGGAGGGAGGAAGGGAACGGGTTGCGGGGCAGGGCGGAGGGAGGCTTCGAGGGGGTTTGGGAGAAGCAGCGGTGCGCAGGAGCGGGGTGCATCCGCGGAGGATTAGGGATTCGGCGAGATCGGAGTCGGGCAGCCAGGCGGAGTGAAGGTCATGTACTTGTGGTGGAGGTCCGGGTGGTTGTGGCAAGCGGAGGCGATTGGGGAGAGGCTCGCGTAGACGAGGAGGGAGCAGGTGGCATTGGATGTGGGATACCTTGCTACTGGCCGAGGAGGAGTCCTCGTCGGATTCTTTGTGGTGGTACTCAGTCATCAATTAGTGGTCATGGATCGAGGCGTTCGTTATCGGTGTCTGATAAGAGGAGGATTGCGTCGAGAAGTGTTCAGCCATTGCTGGCTGGTGGCAGAGGTGGATCATCTCTTGGTACTGCCTGCAGTGATGAGGAGCTATCTGCAGCGAATTACGGGGAGCTTGATTTGGAGGCATTTAGTAGATTGGATGGGGGAAGGTGGTCAAACTGTAGGAGTGCCGAGGGGTTTGAGATTGTTCCTGTGAATGAAGGAGATCTTGAAGGGGAAATTAGTCCTGAAAATATTAAAAGTTTGAGCCAAAAGTACAAACCTTTGTTGTTCAGTGAACTAATTGGCCAGCCCAGAGCATAGTTGTTCAATCGCTTATGAATTCTGTTTCTGGGGGTAGAATTGCCCCGGTCTATCTTTTCCAGGGACCTCGCGGAACTGTGAAGACATCAGCAGCCAGGATTCTCAGCACTGCCTTGAATTGCACTTCGACTACTGCTCATCTTGTGCTGACTTCGTTTCTGGAAACAACAGATTTCCATGGGAATTTGATGGGACAAGTAAGCAATGTGCCGACAAATGAGATACCTTCTCAAAATGGTTTCTCAAGCTCGCCAATTGAGCTCTTTGCATTATCAGGTGTTTCTGGTTGATGAATGCCTCCTGCTTCCATCTAAGTTGTGGTTGGGTTCCTCAAGTTCCTCGAGGAGCCACATCGGGGAGTGGTATTCATATTTTTTTAATTTTATTAATTTTATTAAATAAGTAATATGATAAATCATATATATAAAGTAAGTCTAACGATGTGGTGGAGAAATAAATTAAATTTTTTTTATAATTTCCACGTCATCTAGTTAACGGTCAAACTTTATAGTTGACTGCCAAATAGGACAAATCTAACGGAGTGTAACGGCCGGTGACTAACGGTGAAACGATTCATAAACTTAGTGGTGAATAAGAAAGAAAAGTAATTTGGGTGGCAAAAGTGAAAGATTTGTTTAATTCGAGTGACCAAACGTGTAATTTAGCCGTTAAAATTCACATATTTTCCCTAATATATATTATTTATCATTTTACCCAAAAAAATATATCCCCTAATTCCACGGTTGGGCCGAGCGAACAGTGGCGAGTGAAATTTCTCCATACTTCCTCCTCCTCACGAGTCACGAGTATATACTCATCTCCACCGCCTCTCCAGTCTCCTTCATCACCATCTGACTCACTGCCTGCCCAAGAAAGGGAAAGACAATGCGGTGACAGATAGAACAATGGTCCGACGTCTGCGATCTCCAATTCATTGTTGAAAATCATCCATGGATCGCTAAGTCAAGCCGCAAGAAATGGCGGAGCTCATGGTGCTACTCCATCACTCATCCCCTGTAAAAGCTTCAATTACATCCACGCCTCCCGATTTCAAGCATCGAAATCTAAAGTCTGAGATCCCTTCGAAGATGACAAACAATATTCTCAGCAACTCATCTCGTGGCTAGCAATTGCATCCTCGACCGAAACCCTAGTTTCCGGAAGCTCTTGTGCCCCTACTCCCGTCTTTCTAATTGCATCAGATCTACTTCACAATTCACCAACACCTATCTGCTTCTTTCAATTCCGAACGGCCTACTCGCTCTGATCCGTTGGCTTCCAATCGTACTCTGGCCGTCCCCTAGGGCTGCAAACGAGCCGAGTCGAGTCGAGTTTTTGCTTAGCTTGAGCTCGGCTCGTTTATTAATTTTTCAGCTCGAGCTCGGCTCGAACTCGAATTTTGATAATCCAGCTCGAGCTCGAGCTCGGCTTGAATAAAAATAATCTAGCTCGAGCTCGATAAATGCTCATTAACATAGCTTGTCAAGCTGAGTACAAGCTCGGTTCAAGATGAGCTCGATTTCAAATCTTTTTTGCTGGAAAAATGTATAAACATAAGAATTTAAATGATAGAAAGAACACTAGAAACTATAAATAACATCTAAATTTCATACACATCTGTATTAGAAGACAATGTTCATGTTTAAAAGAGTAATTCATCCTTCCACAAGCTCAAAACAAGGCAGCTCGCGAGCTTGGCTCGACAAGCCACCGAATCAAGCTAGCTCGCGAGCTTATCAAGCTGAGCATTGTCTAGCTCAGGCTTGGCTCGTTAACTAACGAGTTGGCTCGCGAGCCGGCTTGTTAAATAACGAGTCGAGTGTCGAACGAGTTTTTTTCGATTCGAACGCCGAGTTGCTCGCGAGCGGCTTGGCTCATTTGCAGCCCTACCGTCCCCGTGGATGAAGAAAGCAGCGGAGAGCATCTAAACTGCTACGTCCCTTCTTCCCTTCGAATCGAAACCAGGAAAGAGAGAAGGCGCAGTGGGAAGAGGAAAAGAGTTAGAGTAGCTAGAAGCATAGTGGAGCGGGTGATTGGAGGAGTAGACATGGGGGCGGTGGCCGGTAGTGGCGGAAGAGAAAGTAGAGGAAAGAAAGGCAGGGGACGGAGTTCAGGGGAAGAATAGACCTAATTGATTTTAATAATAAATAATTGATTAAAAATAATAAATATCCATGTGTCACCTTTGAATGTTTGACTTCATGCCACGTCACTAAATTAATACCACATCATAGTCAACTAACAGTCAATCAGATGGAAAGTTAACGGTTTGGCTATTATTTTGTTTTTTGAAAGGTTTGGCTATTATTTTATTTAAAATCGAAGGCTAATATATTGTATATACCCAACGTTTTTTGACGAGAGGCCTTCCTTCATGTTTTATTTACCCAAAGGTTTGGCTTTCATCGTAACTAAATGGGAAGTGAACCGTTTTTTGACGAGAGGCCTTCCTTCATGTTCTATTTCTCCGGATTCCATTTTCTGTTGTCAAAATCACATAAAACCAAATGGGAAGTGAACGGGGCCTAAACAAAGCAAAATTTCGACTATTTCCCCCAACCGACCGCAGCATCCTGCAACTCTCCGGTCGGCCGTCGCCGTCTCGTCCTCCACAAATCCCAACCATCCATAATTGATTTGAGTCCCTTCTTCGCTCTTCTCAACTCGTTGCTTTTTTCGCAGCTAGCAACTTGCAAAGATGAAATTGGACGTGGAGGTCCTGAGATACCTCTCGAAGGATGATTTCGGAGTTCTTACTGCTGTCGAGATGGGCATGAGGAACGTATGTATTTTATCATCATCTTCTGAGTATCTGTTTAGTTTAGTTTAGTTTAGTTTAGTTTAGTTTAGTTCAGTTCATCATGTAATTTGTTTTGTCTTAAGTTTTTCCTCTGTATTTCATGTCACAGCATGAGATTGTGCCTGCCGAATTGATTTCCCGTATAGCTTCTCTTAAGTAAGTGTTCTTCACGGTGCTCTTGATAGCCGCGCTTCCAATTTCTGAATTTGATTGAATGGGTTGCATTCCTTTTTTGCTGTAAAATGATCATAATGTAGGCATGGGGGCACTTATAAAGTATTGAAGAACTTGCTCAAGCATAAATTAGTGCACCATGACTCCTCAAAATGTGAGCTTTAGTCCTTGTGCTTCTTCATTGCATGTTTTTCTAGGTTCAGCAATGTACTTACTATGCTAATACTACTGCAGATGATGGGTTCCGTCTTACCTATCTTGGGTAAGATTTCCTCGCAAGTAGAACTTTGGTAAATCGAGGAGTTATCGCATCTGTTGGCCGCCAAATTGGCGTTGGAAAAGAGTCTGGTAAGTTATGAAATGGTTTGTTTCTGTGACTTTATTTATTCATTTTAGTTTGATTTCAGTACAATGAGAATATCTTGTTGAAATTTTGTGTGACCTTCACCTGGCACAGATATCTTTGAAGTGGCTACAAAGGATGGTAGAGTTTTGGCTATGAAGTTGCACAGACTCGGTAGAACTTCTTTCAGAGTTGTAAAATCAAAGCATGATTACCTGAGACATCTAAGTAGTTTTAGCTGGCTTTATTTGTCTCGACTCGCAGCACTCAAGGAGTTTGCTTTTATGAAGGTTAGGAAGTGTCATGGTGCAGACTTTGGTTGTTCTTTTGTTGTTGCTTCTGACAAGTTTTTATTGCTGGAACAGGCTCTGGAAGATCATGGTTTTCCTGTTCCGAAAGCTGTGGATTGTAATAGACACTGTGTGATTATGTCCCTTGTTCAAGGCTATTCACTGTAAGTACTACAGTTGTTTGCATTAGCTGCAACCCTAAAATCCTGAATAATTTTATATCCCTTTGGTTGTTTGCTGTCAGTGAACAAGTGAGGGAATTGCAGAATCCAGAAGTTGTTTTTGAAACTGTTCTTGGTCTTATCGTTCGTTTGGCAGAACACGGGCTCATTCATTGCGACTTCAATGAATTTAATATCATGGTATGTTGTATGTGTATCAGGCATGAGTAAGCTTACATGTCTTTTCGAATAACTATCATTGAAATATTTTAATGTATCACTTGTAGATTGATGACGATGAGAAGGTGACCATGATTGATTTCCCCCAGATGGTATCAGTGTCTCATCGAAACGCACAAATGTAACCTATTTCTTTCTCTCTTTTTGTTTGATGATATATTTTCGTTTTGTTTAGTGCCAAATGTTTTGACTCTTTTCTTAAATGTTCTGCAGGTTCTTCGACCGTGATGTTGAATGCATCTATAAGTTCTTTGCCAAGAGGTCGGTCTAAATTTTTATCCAAGAATATTCAAAGCCAACTCTCATTTATTTAATATATAATTCAGCCTTGAAGCTAGGAATGTAGAGTTGTGACTGGATTCATATATCCTCTTAGGAAGAACTTGGATTCTTTTCCCCTTTGGTCACTAGTTAAAACTTGAATCTCTCTCAATAGTGTTGTTTGGTGTTTGAGCTGGTTGAAGCATCACATATTCATTTGGGATACTACTTGTGAACTTGTACCACCTTTGTCTACCTGGCTTGTACCTAGATGTCGACTCATATGTGCTCTATCTAGTGATCTTCTAACTAGATTTTACATCTGTAGGTACAACCTCTCTTTTGAGGATGATGCCGACGATAACAATTCTGCACATTCAGACATAGACGAAGCTGGCAGACCTTCCTTTTCCTTGATTTCTAAGTCTTCTGGTTTTCTTGATAAGGAACTTGCTGCTAGTGGATTCACACGGAAGGATCAAGATGATATGGAGAAAGTATGGGTTACGTGTTTTTCAAAGTAAAAAATTACTTTCTTTTTCTTTCTCTATTCATGTCAATCGGTACGTGGATTAAGAAGTTAGTTCCTTTTGGAATTCAATGAATTTATGCTTGGAATATTTTGCTCTTCATCTTGTCTAGTAGAGCTTTTATCTTTCCACCTGTAGTTTTTTTGTGTATTTTAAATTCCTGCATGTGCTGAATTCATAATGCTATCATTCGTATGATAAGTGTTCCTTTTCTGTTTTCCTTTTTTGCCTTGAAGCTATTGTGTTCACTTTTAGTTCCTTTCCACAAGTATATGGCATCAAAATTTACTCCCTTGGCTATCGTTGTCGATATTGTGGTTTATGCATGTGGTGGAATTCTTGTGCGTCACCTGCATTATTACATTCACTGAAATGTAAACGTTGCAGTTCATTGAAAGAGGTGCCGACGACGAAGAAGATGAGGATGAAGAGCATGTTTCAGAGGTGCATGAACCCGAGATCACGAATTTAGATTCTCTGCAGATAGAAGAGCAGGTTTCGTTTCCTCAAATATTACATTGACTCGCTTCTCGTACAATGAAATATCATATATGGTGCTTACCGGGAGATATACCATTCAGGTAGAGCAAACGAATGAAGAGGAGGAAAAAATTGTTGCGAATCAATTGACTGAAAAGGCACAAAGCGACAGCCTTGGAGTGCAAGATAATAATGATGAGATATGGGTTTAAGTGGCCTGTAGTATTAAGTTTCTTATAGTAGTGGTGAAAACACTTCGACTCTATAGTACAGTTACATTGTCAATCTCTTCTATGTATATTGTTAGATTATAGTCGCTTGACCTTGAATTTTGGGTTTTCCTGAAATGATGATCTTCTTTTCTGGGTTTTGGGCCATTTCAGGAAGAGGAAGACGACGAGAATGCAGCAGAGAGTGATGCAGAGCTGACCAAGAGACTGAACAAGCACAAAAAGCGAGCAATAGCAGTAGCCCGTGGGAGCCAGAATCGAATATCCTCCAGAAATCTATATAAAGACAAGGCTGGTAGATCCTCTCAGAGCTCCAAAGTTTAGAAGAACTTTGGTGGCTGGTAAAATCAAAATCCATTAGGGATTTACATGGAGTTGTTTGGTCAGTTCTTGTGCCGCCTCGTTGTCTGACAGTTTTGATATATAGGTGAGAGAGACCAGAGGAGAAGAGAGCTTGAACAAAAAGCCTAAAATGATATGTGATCAATCAAAAAGACTTTCGTGGTGATCGTATTATTTATAACAATGAGTTGGTGCGAGTGTACATGATTAATTAGCAAGCTGTTAAAGGAAAAGACTTGATTATGGCATCGGGAGCTAAAAAAAGGAAGCAACCTTAGATAGGTAATCCATTTGGCGTATTTCCTTGAGGGTCAACACGCCCTTTTGATTTATTGGCTTTCGCTTTACGATTTCCTCTGACTCCTCCTGATCAAGCATGTAGCCTGCTGTATAAGCAAAGAGTAGTAGAATCTGGATACCAAAATGTAAACTAAATACATATAAATAGGTGTCTGCATACCCTGGCTTTGCGAAGAAATCAGGGTGCTGATGGAGTAACACCATTGCCCACATGGTGACATGAGTAGAGGATTCATGGCCAACATTTAGGTACATAAACAGAACATCTATGATCTCCTCATCTCTAAGCTTCCGCCCATTCTCATCTTCCACGCCCATCAATTCGTCCATCATGTCCACCTTCTTACTCTTTCCCAATAGCTGCTTCCCACTCCCATCCTCCTGTTTGATTCTGCTTCTGCGCTCATATAGGACCATTTGCAGCACATCCACCACTTTCTTACGCGCCTAACAAATGAAACGATCATTTGAGATTGATTCTGATTCTCATACTCACTAAAATCAAAGGGCAATTGTGTTACCTTGAGGGCTCTGTAGTAAGCAAAACCGGGAAGGTTAATAGCCATGGCTCTGACTCCATGGTTGACCGTGGTGTACTGTCTCTCTAGGGTTTCCATAATGTCCTCGCACTCGGAGCTGAGGAAGATGAACATTATGATGCAGAACGTGAGCTTCCGGAGCTGGGTCAGCAGCTCCAAGGGTTCCCCGGCGGAAGACCATTCCTCCTGCGCGGCGGCGACGTTCTCCCCCGATGAAGGTAATGTAGAGGGAGAGGGCTTCATATCCGTTGACCGGGGCGGCGGTCAGACGGCGGAGCCGCTTGTGGTCTTCGCAGGAGATGCCGATGAAGGAGTTCTTGCCCATTAGCTCCACCATGGAGGTGGGCCAGCCGGGCTTGAAGGCTTCGTTGTCCATTAGCACTCGCTTGGATGCTTCCGGGGTTGTCACGAACACGCTGGGCCATCCAAACATCTAGGCCTTGTAAAGCCCACGCTCTCCATATCTGTGGCCCAATGGATTTTAGAGGAAAAAAAAACAAAATAGTTCTTCAATGATATCAAATAGGTTTCTAAATGGAATTTTTTTGGGTCATAGATAAGTGTATAATAAGATAGTTAGAGTATATCAAGCAACCAAATGCATGAGTCGACCAATTAAACTATCGATGAAAGAGTATTAGTAATTACTAGTTGGGGCAAGCGTGTTGTACTTGCAAGGAGTAAAGAAACAAGAAAACATAGAAAATGCAACAATCGCCGGACAAATTTTCTCCAAAATTGCTCCACTCAAACTATGAGTCACATCCTTTTGTTTTAAAGCTTCGTTGTATCATTTAAAGAAGAAAAAAAAATACTATTATAAGGTCCATTATTGGTATCTTTTACATTATTAAGTTATTCACACTCTAATGAAAACAATTTAAGTGCACAAACAATGGGGATGTAGCTCAAATGGTAGAGCGCCCGCTTTGCATGCGGGAGGTACAGGGTTCGATCCCCTGCATCTCCAATTTAACCTATGGATTGACTTAGTGGTAAAATAAAACTTTCAATTTAATTTTTTGAAATTAAAACTCAACCTCTTGTTAGTTTTATGAGTTTCAAGATCTCCTATATTGGGTGGATCAAAAGTATATTAACAAATAACTAAGGGGCCCTTATTTGTAACTTTGATATCTTTCAAGTGTTAGAGATTCTATAAACGAGTAAGTTCATAATTCGGATGTTGTGACACTGACTTCCAAGGATACGAATGAGAGTCTCATTCTAGGGTTTAACAATGACAATTAGTTAATTTAAGATGCTGCAAAGATCTTTGTAATGTAAGGATTACTGATGTATATAAAATAGGTACTGTTAAGTTAGATACTTATCATCAAGTCAATGTTGTTAGGACGCCACTGTACTTAAAAAAATTGTTTCTGGTTTGAATTTTTTAAAAAGAAAACAATTTTGACTAATAAAGTATTGGAATCAACTTTTAAAGCCGAAAAAAGTACTTTAAAAGCCATACTAAATATGCCAGACACCATTAAACTTTTGGAATTGGGGCACGGGTACCACCAAACTACAAATTGGGCGTCAGGTACCACTGAAGACTGTAAATAGTGCGTTTGTTAAGTTTTCCTTCGAAAACTTTTAAAAAACACCCAAAATAATATAAATTCAATAAATATCATTCCAAAACTAGAAAACCTACTTATAGGCACAAGATTAATAGAATGGCTACTGAAAATATTTCAATAAAACTAGAAAAATTAGGAAAAATAATGAATGAATATCAAGAAAATATAATAAATATACTAGAAGACAATATTAGAAGAAAATATAATAAACAAATAAGATCAACATTAGAATATCAATGTAATGACAAACAAAAAGATATATATTCAGATTTAGAACTGGCTACAGATACAATTACTAAGATAATAGTGGATATAAAACAAAGAGAAGTAGCAATAGGAAAATCAACTCCAAATTATAAGGAAATAGTATTACCAGAAGAAGATCTTAAGAAAATCATTATCAAACTTCAAAAAATATTAATTAAATTAGACAATAAAAGATGGATTACAATTGAAGATATGAAAAAAAAACATTTGAATGAGTATAAATCAAGTAAATCAAGTCCATTGACTATCATGGCACCCTACAAACTTCTATGACTAATATTAACGAACAAATAAATAAATTAAATGATTTATTAGCCGCAATTACTATCGAGTCAGAACCAGAGACAGACGAAAATATAGAAAATGATAAAATAGTCCTTGACTATAGTAGCGACGAAAACCCCTATAAAAATTACACAAATACAAATTATAAAAAAACTGAAATTGATGATCAACCTGAAACATCACGAAAACGTGATTTTAATGACTATAAAGATGGTCAACTATTTTTTTATGACTATAAAAACTCGTATACACCTCGCAAAGGGGGAGGATGGAGTAAAATACATAAATCTTACATACCAAATATTCCACCACTAGTTTTAACAGTCCTGATATTTTAAATCTTGATTGTTGTATTAATCCATTAAAAGAATTAGAAGACTGAAAAAATCGAACATGACTATTAATACAAACTAATGTTGATCTAAAGAAATTGCAACCTAGTGAAATGTTTAATTTCTTAATATATAAAACAACTAGGGCAGTTTATCATTATCTCAACAACATGGATATTCCAGTAAAGACACTATTATATGGAACAACAGATGCTACAAATACCTTTAAAAAGTTTTAAATTCAATAACTTATGAATTCTTAGGACGACATCCTCGGAAAAATAAACCAAACACAACCATAAGTCAACAAGCTATTTGACATTTAACTAATCTTGAATCTGCAACATGTGCTTCTTAGAACCATTTATTTGTGAATTCAGAACACACTATTATCAAGTTACCCATTCAATAAGGAAAGAACTAGATAAATTACTTTATGCCAAATTACCACCTATAGTCTCTGAAAAAGTCAAAGCTATCTTTAATGAATCTTTGTCAAAAGAAGAAATACCAGATACATTAGGAGGACGAATATTAGTTTTACAAGAATGGCATAAAAGAGTTTGTAATGAGGAAAAAGTAAAGAAACAAGCCAAAATTAAACTCTGTTGTGAAGAAACAATGGATAGAGTTGGAAAATATGGTTGTAATAACGATCATAAGATTATCAAAACTCGTAAAAAATATATGAATTATAAAAAATGGAGAAAAACACCTTATAAAGAATATAGAAAAAAATAGGTTTAGAAAACCAAATAAATATTTCATAAATAGAAAACAGTTTAGAAAAAAAAAACTAAACAAGAATATTGTCCTAAAGGAAAGACAAATTGCAGATGTTGGTTATCTAATGAAGAAGGACATTACGCAAATAAATGTCCTAAGAAAAATAATAATATTAGAAAACAAGAAGTCCTTAGATTGGCATATGACTGTCGTTTTGAACCAATCGAAGAAATAGATTTTGAACTTTCTGATGTAGAAATTAGTGAATATATTTCAGATTCACAGACCTCTTCAGATGAGTCAGAAGAAGGTACTAACTAAGGGAAATCCTAATGCAACATTTATTAAAATTGATATGGACTATTGTCGGTCGCGAAAGTTTAGCTGGCCTCCAAATTCAGTTAGTTCGAGCCATGAGCCATCCATGACTGCGTTCAATCATTCCAATAGGGCATTTCCTTTTTAGTTGCACAAATGTTATCCGGTGTCGACGATGGCGGACAGAGCTGTGTGAGGGTTTGCGGAGAAGAATAGGATGGAGGAAGAGCAACAAACTTGGGGGGGTTCAGGTGGTTGTAGAGATGAATAAAAGTTGGGAGAAGAGGTGTTGCTGTTGGCGGAGAGGCGGCCGGTGGCGGTGAATGTGGGGAGAGAATTCAGGAAGATGGACGAGGGTCGGGTAAACTGTGGTTAGGTTGGGTCATTGTTGATGTGGCACTTTTTTTGACATGGTGGGTTATGTTTTATTTAAATTTGGGTACATCATCACTTCTGTTAGCCACATCAGCAAAATTCTAACGGTGTTAATGGATACTGACGGAGACAAACAGAGAGTAACCAAACATGATATGTTTTATCAAAACTAGTGACCATGAATGGAATTAAATATTTTTAGTGACCAAACATGAACGTTTTTTTAATCCCAGTGACCAACCTTGCAATTAACCCAAAACAATGGATTTTAAGAAAAATCCATGATGGATCCAAATCTCTCACCAAATCCATCAAGCAAACAACAAAATCTTATGTGATACAATATTAAACATCTTGTAATTTTGTTTGTGTTTTGTAACTGATGACTTAATTTCCTGTATTCATTACTTAATTATGATAACAAAAGCCAAAAGGCCTAATTAAACGATCATAAGAAGAAAAATGCTTAATTCTGACTATCCACAGACATGGATTAAGAAGAAAAAATGCTTAATTCTGACACTCCACAGACATGGATTCTAATACAACAGTAAACAAATAGAAAGTTACACTGCAAACTGTACACTCAACTTGTTGGTTTCCAAAGAAGATGAATTAGCACTTGGAGTTTGACTCTGAGTACACACTTTTACGTTGAAGGGTGGTTTGGTGCTTTGGAGAAATTGCGGCCAGTATTACAACTCCAGCGAGCAAAGCCAACCCCAACCCTAATCCATTAGCAACCATTGTTTCTGGAGAGCGTTTGGAGGCAGTACTGTCACTAAGCCTTCTCATTTCCCTGAAAGTGAGCTTCTCCATCAACCCTGTTTCTGCCGTTGCAACTGCAAGGGTGTAGGTGTAGAGACCAAGGAAGATGTGCCATGGCAATCTACTCGCCCGCACCGTTCGCATCTCGCCTCTATACCAAAAGCTCAGGAACCCCATCAACCACTACATGTATGCATTGAGCGAGATATGATCAGAACATTGACGAGTTCGCCTTCTCGAGTATCAACGTAGAACTTGATTAAGCTGAACAAATTCACCATGGTGTTGTGTCTAGGAGGAATTTGGCTAAAATGCGCACATGCATTCAACGACTGAGATCATGGAGCCATACGAGACAACACTCAACTTGTTTAGAAAATAAGAGACCAACCACCACATTACACATTACACCCGCATTGCAGCTAGCATCTGGGCACCATGGGAATTAAAGAGGTTACAAGCAGCAAGAAATCATGGTTGTTCCTCCATAACTGAAGGCAGAGTTCGAGTAGTACTTGTAACTGACTCCATAACTTGCTAGTATTAGATTACTAGGCATCGATTAAAGCTTGATTCTTATTATATAACCTGAAGATTCCCTGGGATCATAATAGCGTTATGACCAGAAAGGCCCTCACTTCTAGAGCTAGACTCTAGCACAGACAGTACTAGTAGACTGCAGTTGAATAATAGATAGAGAGAGTGGGGTGAAGAGATGAATACCTGAGCAGCAAACAAGGAAATGCAAATCAATCCCAACCAAGAATGCAAGCTCAAGAAGTTGCCCATGATACCCTTTCGGACATGGAAGATTGTCCAAACCCCAAATACCCCACAGCTCAAAGCCACTCCTTGGAGGCCCAAATGCGCCAATTTCTTTCCGTTCCTAGAGCAGGGCAGCCATCTGTGTACCAAAATTGCTGAAACACAACCAGCAATTAAACTAATTAAACTTAGCAAATCCCACGAACAGGCCATGGCTATTATCTAAGACACTGTTGGTGAAAGTACAAGTACCAACCTTCTCCACTAACAAGGATGAAACCAATCACCATCAGCAGCGGATGCCGAGCCTGCAAACATCAGAAGAAACCCAAGAATGGGTGAAGAAATAAGAAATTGGAAGGCGATAGGGATTGAATTCGATCAGTTGGTTTGCAGTACGTACTGCATAAATGAGGGAGTGTTCAGAGGAGTGGCGAGAGTAGACAACAAAAGCCCAGTAGAGGAGTAAAGCTGCAACTGTGAGAGCTAATATTCTGCCAAAGAGGAGAAGTGGGAGTGAAAAGGACTGTGGTGGCGCCATTTTGAGTCGGATTTTCTTCGGTCTGCCGACACTTTGAGGTTTGAGCTGGTTACTGGAGGATGGACTCTAAAATGGAATCTTCTGACTTCTGAGTAAAGAGTAAAGACCGACAGAGAGAGAGGACTGAGGAGGGAGGGAGGGAGGAAGACTAAACAGAAAAGTGGAAATAGAGCGCCCCTGTTTCGCTGGTCTTAACCGGTAAAGGAGAAACAGTGGAACAATAGGCTTTAGATAGGTGAGGTTATATTGGGCGTTTCGGATTTTTCGGCTCAATACCATGGTTATTATGCACCCATCAATAACAAATCTGAATCCTTCATTTAGAAATTCCAGATTTAAAAATGGAAAATTAAAGACCATTTTTATTTTTCTTAGCTTTCTTAATCAGCTCATATTTTTTTTGTTTTAACTCGGATTTTAATTTTTTTTTTTTTTTGCACAGATAGAACGCGTTTATCGTGCTCTACAAAATGAGATCAATTTTCAATATTTTTTGAGAAAAAAAATTATGACCTCTCGGTACCAACTGCATACCATATGGTATTTTCTTCGTTTTTAAAACTTTTTTGAAAACGATTGCACAGAAGGGACGAGTTCATCATGATCTATTGGATCTACAAATTTCTGGGTGAACAAATTACAGGACCAAAAAATACCACACAATACCATACAATACCACCCTGGTACGGGGTGGTATATTGTGGTACACAATGTTAAAAGTCGTAAATGACAGTTAATATACTTCTACTATCATGTATTCAACCATCATACAGTCTTGGTTTGTTCATACCACCATGGTATGCTCTTATTTCAATACTAGTCAATACCATATGGTATAGACCGGTAAAAAAATGGCTCAATTTTTTTTGTTCAAAAAATATATCAAAGTGGAGGGGTTACTCATGGTTACTTACCATAAGGTTACTGACCTGATCCATTCCCGGATTTTTCTTATAGAATTATCCTATATTTGGCCCCGACTTTTAGAAGTGTTTTTCGACTTCAAAAGTTGAATAAGCATATTTTAATTTTATTTCGAAAATATAATTTTATTTCATTTATATCGTTTTAAAAATAAAATAAATTATGAAATCATATTATTTAATATAAAAGAAATCTAACAAGATCCATTTTGACTATCTTTTATTATTTAGAATTTTATAAGCAGTACTTCATGAGATTTTGAGCATTTCAAATTCCTTGCACTCTCCTTAATTGTAGCTAGGGGTAAATTTGTAAGTTCAACTTAGAACTTAAATATCTTCTTACGAGAAAAAAATGTCATTACAAAGACTTGAACTCGAATCTTTCAGATTGATAGTCAACATCCCTAACCAACTAAACTACAACAATGTTTATGTATTTTTTTAATTAAAGAGAAAAAATACGGAAATATCTCAAAATCATAAGACTATCCACCGCAATAATCAATCATCGAATTAATTAATAACTGTAATTATTTACAAAGTGAATCATCATGATATACCTAGCTTTATGAATCAACTAAGTGAGTTTCTCTAATCATACAATTCTTCACCAAGAATCAAATAGTACATTTTGAGTTTATGTATGTCTTACAACGTTTACATTTATTAGGTTACATGACTTTGTAATTTGTAGGAATACTAGGATTGTTTACAAAAGTGCTATACAAAATTTTATTTCAAAACATAAAATTTGACATTTGTGATCTATGGTTTTGTAACGAGACATTTTCAATACTAAAAGTGAATGACCAAAAATCATTGGCTAACAATTTTCCTAATGGTTGACAATTATAATCATAGAATTGAAAGACTAAATATCATTGACAAATGAGTCAATTATCATTGGCTAAATTTAACAAACAATGGTATGTGTATATACATTGGAAATTCTATGGTACGCTCGATGGATTGAGGATTATTGCATCTCCTTAGTTAAATAACATTATCTAGACCATAGATTAATCACGTAACTAAATCATATATCATAATTCTCTAAATCCTAATATAGTGCATATGGTATGTTGTATACATCTTGACGAAGCAGAATCATTGATTATGTTCTTAGTATATGTGATATTAGGGTTTAAGTTCTATAGATTTAGGGTATATGATTTTATTATTTGAAACTTAATTTCCCTTTTCAAATTTCTTGCAATGAGAGGGAAATTAGGAAGCACATTTTTGTCTTCACAATTATCTGTATTTTTTGTTTATTTACAGAAAAAGATAGACATATTGAGATTTGAACCATGGTCACTTCAAACAAAGTGAAGGTTTAAAATCAATCAGACTATGTAGATTTATTGTATTTTTTTTAAATTAAAAATATATACTAAACTAAAATATGAAATCACATAACTTTTCAACAGTTAGCTAGCCCAATAAATATTCCGTAAGTACTTATTTGGTGTTCTGATCATTCGATTTTGATTTTTTATTTTAATTAGTTTAATACTTAATTTAAAACGAACAAGGGCTTGGTCTAGTGGTAATACCACTAGTCTAGAACCTGGAGGTCTCAGGTTCGAATCCCTTAAGTAGTACCTTAATCACAAAAAGAGAAACCTATATCACCCTTATCAAAAAAAAAAAAACTTAATTTAAAATTTTAACTATCTTATAAATAGACGATAACCATAAATTTGCAACCAAAATATTATTGGTTCGAATATTTCATATCGAATTATAGTATTGAATATGTAGAAGCAATATAGAATTCTTAAATTACCATTAATTTCCAGAATTATAGTGAAGCAATCATATCTTTGTGCAAACTAGAGGGGACTGGTTTTCTGAACACTTTTGTCCAGTTAAATACTAAGTTTTGAAACTCTTCCTAGGGGTGTACGTGGGTCGATTAATTTGGGTTTAGATATTTTAATCACATAACTCATATACCACGATTTTGAAAACACTAAATACAAACTCACCAAATAATTTAAAATTTTAACGGTTTGTGTCCTCCATACCAAATGAACCAATTTACATGTCGCTTAACTAAGGATGATCTCATTGTCCAATCCCATCATTCTAATGTCAATCCATAAAAGTAACCCATATTCGCGTTTATTAACACATGTTTCACATTATCATTACTGTGACCGATAACTTCGCTACAACTGATTCAGTATTGCTCATCATATGGCCTCCAAACTTATAAACATATCGGGCCAGCAGTTTTATGACAAAACTCAAAGTGAAGACAACTCATCGTCTAGTGGAATTTTAGCGCTTGTTGTTGTCCATGAATCTAATTGCAAGCATAATAATTGCTAAAATTAAGCTTTCACGCAACACACTGGAGTTGGGGGTGTGAACTTGGAGTAAAAGTTGATATTGGATTTGGGAAGGGAAGTGGTGAGAGGAAGAAATTGTGTTTGGATTTGGTAGCGGGTAAAGTTTATGTTTCGGTTTCTTTTCGTAAAATGCTTTGATTTATTTTAGTTAGAGGTATAATATCATGGTTATGTGGGATCAAATGAACCAAAAATGAGCTTGGGGGATGGGAATTCCAACTTAGAAGGAGTGGATTAGATTTTGATAAACTCAAGTTCATGATTAACTAAAGAATATTTAGATTTAGACTTTGTGGTATTGAGATGTTCACAGAGAGATTAAAACTGATCCAAGGCTGACACGCTAAGACACAACACCTAACAATGGCCAAGTGTAACCAATGAAAGGGACTGCAGTATAGTGGCACAAGTAATAAATATCGAATCCACGGGTCTCTAGAGTTACTATTACTCAGCTTCAGTTCATTATCTAGCAAACTAGATTAAGGATTGATTTACTAAACTACTCTACTAACTACTCTACTAATTACAAGTTGGGAACTCACTTAGGTATGATTCCCCCTAGCTCCTCAATTAGGTCCAAGTTGCAATTACCTTTGGTTGATCTACTGTTGATTAAACTGCGGAAGATCATAAATTAGCTTGGAATCTCTTAAGCTGACCAAGCCCTCTCAGACAGAATACCCGACAGGCGACTAACCTTCACCGGGATAGACTGCTAAGGCGATTCACACAGATCTCCACTACTGGAATGAATTCCAGTACAAAGCAGTGAATTGATTGACTCTCGCACAACCAATTCACTACTATCAATCAAGGAAACTCTCTTAACCTAATCAGATTCTATCTATCATAGGTTAAAGCAGAAATCAAGAGAATTTGATCAAGATCCAATTGACTCAATAAATCATGCCTCAATCGATTATAATCAAACAGTATAGCATCCAAAACTTCATACAAGAAAGATCCTAACTCATGGAACTAGGGTTCCTCAAAACCTAAGTGAAGGGAAGTTACTCCATAGAGAAGAGAGAGACTGCAGAAATCTGATCTATATCTTCAATCTCCATCTCCAAGCTTGATTCCTGAGCTCCAATGGCGAAGAAATCCTCCAAAATAGCTCCAAGAATGTTCCCAAGTCGCTCTCTCTCTCTAGGGTTCGTCCCTTGGGTGTTTGGGATCCAAAACCCAGCTCTCCTCCCTTTTGGCTCGGATTAGGCTTAAAAACAGGCTTCCCCGAGTTGCACGGCCAGGTGCACGGCCGTGCACAACACCATTCTGGCCGTGCACCCTCAAAACGCACCGTTTCACTTAATAGATCTCAGCCATCTTGCACGGCCAGGTGCACGGCCGTGCAAGGCTGGATTTTGCCCGTGCAAGGCCTCGGCAGAGAGCGCACGGCCAGAATTATATGTTGCACGGCCGTGCGCCTCCATGGTCTGCCCGTGCAGCTTGCTCCGCCTCTGTTTAATGCTTCGTTTCTCCCTCGTCCGGACTCCGAATCAGTCGCCGTTTGATCCCAGACGCTCGTAGTCTCGTCCTCTTTCGTTTCATAACAAGCTTGCATGATTATCTGTCCATAAAGTGAGGTAGAAATCAATTCTTCTTCAGGTCATGCCCGAGTTTCTGCTCCCGAATCGCCAATTGATCTCTGATTGACTTGAAACTTGCGCCTATGCTTCACTTTATGTGCTAGGACCTGAAATGTGACAAAGGAACACAACCTAGCATAAAATAGGCCAAAGACACGGTAATTCAAGCTCAAACAATCAAGAAACAAAGGGGAAAACATGTGCAAATACCGAGTCATCAAATCCCCCCACACTTAACTGTTTGCTTGTCCCCAAGCAAACCTAACTCAAACCAATGCAACTCTCCAGAGCTCTATAGCAACATACAACCCCGATC